CCCCAAAACCCCAAAACCCCAAAACCCCTTCAATGAGAATAGATTAAAAATTTAAGATATCAAATTATTAAGAAATCTGATTGAATCAGTTTTGAAAACTAAGAATTATCATTGCATTTTTACCTAGAAATCATATTGCTGGTAGTATTATGGAGCGAAGTCCGTTGGTTGTGAGAATGAAGCGAATTGTGGGTTAACAACTGGAACAATGGAAATTGGAATTCTAGCGTGAGGAAGAGTAGCGCAGCAAGTACAGCCCTCAAAACCACATCTTACAGCTAAGAAGTATTCATTTGTTATATGATGACCATGGCAAGCTGGCTGCATCTGTTTCATCATGTAGAGATCCTCAGCACAGATTGACTTCATATGGCCACCTTTCTTTCTTTGACCTTCAACTTAGTATGTGATTGAACTGAGTGGAAGTTCGAGATGTCTAAGCTCAGGGGTTGAATGATTTGCTGGAACTCCTGCTTCATGCTTATCAGATAAGGTAAATGTTTGGTTGAAAGTGTGCCATCCAGCAGTAATTCTTACTACCTATTCGACTGCAAGTCTGACATTAGTTAGTCTGACATTGCATCTTGAGTTATCTAGGTTAACATTAGCTCTACACACTTCATGTGGCTCAAAGACATTCTTCTCAAAATCAACCTCAATTCTTGATTAACCTTGATTAATGCAGCACCAGGTAGAAATTGGAAGTTCAGATGTTGTTTTCCTTCCTACTTCAAATTGAACATCATGCTCTCTGATAACCATAATGGTCTTGTATTTCATTTGAGAGTGATGATGGTGGTCAATAAGAGATGCTCTCATTTGATATTTGACACAGGCTTTTGGCTTAGCATCGATATGCTTATTTTTGTAGTACAAACTTGATGGAATATGTGGAGGCAAGGCGAAACTGAAAGGAACAGCATAATCTCCTGGAGCAAGAGTGGGTACAGAAAATGTGAAACAAGGCTGTTTGAATTGCCAGAGGATCTTTTTAGATTTATGCTTGTCATGATGCCATTCATTATCTCTGTGCTCTCTCGTCACAAATGAAACCTTCTCTTTACCTTGAACTTCAAGCTCAATGTAAGAAACTTCAAGGGCCACATGAGTTCTAAGATAAACAGTTCCTGTGACAACTTCACCTGGATAGTAGATTTATTTGGCAGTTTAGACCATCAAGTAACCGTGTTCGTGTTTGCAACGTGAATCGACGTTTCCCATTATTCTATGATTTTATGTTTTAAAGATATTTAATTGCTATTTAAGCTCAAATCAAAGTTTAAGAAATCTGTGCTCTAATATTAAGTTAATTATTATTCTTGTTTTAGATTTAAATAATCCTAAAAATATCCCTTTCTTTTTATTACATTTATTCTTTCATTCTGGGGTTTTGGGGTTTTGGGGGATCGGAAGAGCACACGTC